ACTCGACCATGTCCCCTTCACAGCACTCTTTGTAGACATCCTTCACGTCGTGGACCATCTTGGCGAGGTCTGCAAACAGAGCCTTGGGGTATTTCTGGCTCATGCGAGCAAGTTTTCTGGGTAGAAAAGGAGAAAAATACCCTTGTTTTAAAGCAGCGTGGGGAACAGAAACCTTGCAAGTCGCTAACATGTGATATGGTAGGTCAGGATTCTTCCAATGAAATATTCATTCTTCTTATCTAATTTCTGGTGGCTAAAAAAAAGGGCACTGACAGCTGCTAGAGTAAACCAGAGCTCCTTAAAAATAGCCAGAAAGAAACAGGTTTCTGGTGGTTCTTGTCTGTGTAAGAATCGCACCCGAGAATTCCCCATCACTCTTGAGTGATTGGAAAGCACTCCAGATTCTTGGCACAGGTGGATATAGTCCTGATTAAACCTTTAAATCAAAGCTGACTATATCTGTAAGGTAATCCTAGTCAATGTTAGTGTATCAGGCTGGTCACAGAAGCAGTTCTCTGTGCTCAGGCAGGGGATCCACTTCTTAATTGTATAAGTTTTTCTTAATCTTTTAACAACTGTGATTCTGCCAAATTTGACTTTCTCATTGCTTTAAGGTTCAAACCAGCAACCTACTTTGCTGAACAGTGATGTACCCATCACTAAAAGCTGTGGGCATTGGAATGGGGCACAGCTTTGGAACAAATACGGATCAAACACACCGGAATCTCTGGTTCCGGGTGACATTCCATCATTTAACTCTGCATCTCCTGGATTTGTTCCAGAGACAATTTCATTGCTCTGCAACTCCCACAGTTGAGCCTTTTCCTAATCCTCACTCTCAGGCTGAGAAGCCCACTCTTTATAAAGAGGTGAAAAGCGACTGGAACTCACTCTGCCTGGAAGGTTCTCTCGCCGTACTTATTGAGGACGCGGCACCCGTGCTGCTGCTGCACCCCGATCATCTTGGCTCTGTCCTTGATGGCAGATTCCTGTGGGGACAGGGGGCACATTGTCACGTTCAACGGATCGCATCCAACATGTGGGATCACCCCTGACCTGCCTCTGCAAGTTCTCCATGCCTAGACTTGCATGAACAGCAAAATCCTGCCTGTCTCTCACTCAGTTGCTTAGTGTCCATCCACAGAGACACATCTGCCGTACCTTGTCATCCAAGCAAGCACCAATATCGCTCTCTGAGCAGCAGCTTTTAAGGGCATTTTCATACTCAGCAGCCAGACCCAGGATTGCTGGGGCGTGCAGGAAGGGGTTTCTCCTTGCAACAGTGTAGACGAAACTAGAAGGAAGAGGAAAACCTAAGTTCCGTGTTCCAACGACAACAGCAAATAGCCTTAAATCCCTTGCAGCTTCTCTAACTTTTTTTTCCAGTTTAGATATGCAATCTACTTTCCTGACATAAAGCCTGAGATGCTCTGCTAAACCCCATAGGACTCAGTAAAGTGAGGGAAGGGTGAACTCCTGATGTTGTCTGCCACCTGGTTTGATGTATGTCTGCTTTTTAAAAAATGCAGTGTCAAATATTTGAAAATTCTGATTTTCAGTGTGAAAAATTCATCTGTGGCCCTTTAACCAAGATTTTACTGCCAATTTTTATTCTTTGTAGTGTTATCTTTCTTCATTCTTGCCAATTACAACGGGGGTAGTGGGAAGCTGGAATAACTAAGTCCTTAATTAAATGTTGAAAGGCCGTGGGCTTTCAGGGGTTTTGGAGAAGAAAAGTCACCCAAGATGTATAAAATGTGATCCCTTAACCCCCATTCCAAATGGAAAAGCCTGCATGCAATGAGAGAACGTGATAAGTGTAAGGAAGCAGAAGCATCCATTTTCCTTACTCTCCCAGGAGCGCCACCCGGTTGTCCTGGTACTTGGTGCAAATCACATCGGCAGCAGGTCTCTGGTATGGAGGAATGAAGTCTGGGTGGTGAACTCTGAAGGACAGGAAGCACTGGTTTCTCTCGGGATCAGCTTTCCCACAGCAGTCAGCCATGTCACCGTAGGAGTCACGGAGCTGGTCGACTTGGCAGATTCTGTCCAGGAAAATGGTGGGCTGCAAGGGAGATGCCAAAGGTCAGAATTAGTGTTTACAGACAGGGGGATGTATTTTCTGTTTATCTGCAAAAGAAAGCCCAGGCTGAATAGCAAATATGTTTGTACTGTTTAAGATTTAGACCATAAATCAAAATAATCTACTGTTTTTCACACAATTTTATGAAGTTTTATTTTATGTGATCTGATATCCAAACTGCTACAATGCTTTTTTGAAAAAACATTAATTATAATCTAAAATATTCTGTGCAAGACAATGATCTCCTTTTACTTATAATCCAACTAAAAGGAATTTTCAGATTAATAAAGGAAAGATTTGATATTCTGTGTAATGAGCAGCTTGGGAAGCCTTTAGGGAGAACCAATATCTAGGTGACCCACGCAGCTGGGTCACTTTAATACCTAGAATTAGGTCTGTACTTTATGGCTGGGATTTTGTACTAAATGCCAACACTTCTTTGCAGGCAATGCTAAAGTTAATGTGCCAAACTGTGGTGTTTGGTCTCCAATATAAGGTCCCACAGATCATTTGGGCACTTCTGAAAGGCAGAGTTTTAGAACCCAACAAAAAGCACTAAAAGCTGAGCATTGGCTGATGCCAGGAGCCACACCTGAGAGGTTCAGGTATAAACCCTCAGCAAGGGTGATCCTGGCAGCTGCACAGAGCGAGGAGAAACACAACATGGAAGGATTCACTGCCTACCAGTGGCTTTGTGCACTCAGGAGCATCCTCGTTGGCCACACACTTGTGTGCCAAATCAACAATATCCTTCACCAGCTTAGACAGTCCATCGTAGGAACATTTCTGGAGGTACTGGGCAAATGTGATCATGGCACTGAAACACAAAACACAGGTGCGAATATGAAGGTGAGAAACATCTCAGCCAGGATTTTCAAAGGTGCTTCTGAATTAAACTTGTTTGGTCAAATGACATGCACAAAGGTTAACCAGGGTACCAGGAAGAGCATCCTGCCACATCCCACATCCTTCCTCTTCTCACCTCCCTTCTGAACATGTTTTTAACCTTACTTCCCAAAAACAGAATCCTGAATAGTAGATTAGGAATAAAGCAGAAAAGACTGTTGATTGGCGTTTTCTGCCACTTCTACCAGCATATTCATAAATGCCATAACCTAAACTGGATTTGGCCACTGTTACAAATTATGATCTTCAGGCTGTCTTCTCTCACTACTTATGTTCCTGTCAGAGCCCTCTGCCTTTCCCAAATCCAGTTTTAAACAGAAATCACTGAACTGTCTCAGAAAACCCATTGCAGGTTTGGTTTTTGAGGTTGGTGGTTGGTTTGTGATATTTCTGGCAATCTCTCAATCCAGCATAATTTCTTTTCATTCTAAGGATATCAAACCCATATTCCTCATGTCTATTTTATTTTCACACAAGGAACAGAGGTTTTTCCTAAGGTTTGCAGGGAGTTCTTTTCCCAGAGAGCAAGAAAGTCATTATGACTTTTGCAGGTCTTAGAACATTCGTAGGCTTTGCATAGTAACAGTAAGAGGCTACCTCAGTGTTTCAGTGAGACATCCAAACTCCCCACGAGCTCATACTGTGTGTCTTAGTTTCCCTTTTTGGGACAATATCAACAGAGACAAAAAACCAAGCAGAAAATGGAAGTTGAACATTCACTTACACTCCCTTAAATGTCTCTTCCTTCAGGTCATTGTAGCGATGGGCAATCTGACTCTTGTGGTCTAGGAAGGAAAGCAAAGAGAACAGTGATGCTCTGCCACTCGGGCTGTGCTGCACATTTTGGGCACCACGGGCCAGACTGTCACAAGAGTTCAGCATTCACCCAACTTTTACACTTAAGAGCACAAGAACTTCAACTTGGCTGAGGCAACCTTTCTTGTCCGTTTGTCTGCAGATACCCAGCTCTTACTTGTTTTCCAAACTGCATTAAAGGCATTAAATTGATAGAACAAAGACTCCCGAGACAACTAATTAGTCCTTTCTTACCTGCATCTCGTGCAGCTCTGTGCAGATTCCTGGATCTGGCCGAACTTAGGAGGAAAATAAAGGAAATTAATGTTAACCACTTCATGGTTTCAAATTATTATGTGAGCAAAATTGCTCAGAAGTGCTAGGAAGAGTGAAGGGAGAGCATGTGCTTATATACCCTTTACTAGCCATGCCTGTAAAATATTAACCCTTGAGCTGGCATTGGTACATTTCCATCTGGCCTGAAGAAGATTACAAAACCTGGGCTGCCCTTGCCAAAAATGAATTTGATATTAGTTATTCATTAGGTGTTGTCACTCTGGGCCTTTTTGTCCCGAAGAGGTCGAACCTTCCAGCACCCAAAAAGATAAAGTTTTGCGTAAATTTCCTTATCAAATGACAAACAAGGAGTTCAAGGCATCAGACAAAAAAGTCATCAGGGCTAATCCTATAGCTTTTTTTTATGCTGGTATTTGTTCAGAAGCAAAGCAGGTTGGTATTGTACAGTAACAACTCACCCAGACAGGACTTTGTCCACTTGAAATTAGAGAATTTTAATTTTAAATCACTTTAAGAAGATGAGATGGCTCATCTAGACATCTAGGGCTGATCTGAGTATTTGATTTGTTAGGTCATGTTCTGGTTTTCTGTGGGTGCTGCTGCTCACCAGGGTCCATAAAAACAGCCAAACACATGGGTAGATGTGCAAGGGCTGTAATTTCAGAATTTTTGCAATTCCTCATTTGTACTGACATCCTCCCAAGACCAATCTCTTAATTAAGCCCCACTTTCCTCTCTGAAAATGTCCTATTCATTGGTCAGTAACTTAGGAGATCAAACACAGGAAAAATTGTGCAGTTTGCACAGAGCCCCAGGACATGGAATAAAATTGAAATGATTTTTCTAGAACACTCAGTGAGAGGCTTCAAAAAAACCCCAACAGGTATGAGGTTGGATCCTTATTGAGTACAAAGTGATGTAATTCCACAGTGAGGAATACTAGGATTTATTTTAATGAATTTAGCTCCCCAGTATCTGGATGTCAACCCACACAACTGGAGGTTGTGTTCTGTCTCGCAGCTCCTTGCTCTGTCCTTAAGGTTCCCTTTTCTACTCTGTTTCTCTCCTCAGCTGGGCATTTTGGCTGTAACCCTGTTTTACTCCTAATGGAAGTAGCAAGAACAGATCAATTTTCAGTTTTCTGGAAATCTGAAAAAATAAATTAAAAAAATACTTCACTTTGCTCCTGAGAGCAAACTTTTAAACGTGCCCGAAATAAATCAAATGACATGTCTAAGCATAAAATACCTGAAGGCAACCTCCACTGAGGAAAATGCCAGGGCAATGCATCTTGTGTTTCGGAAAGGCCGTTCTGTTCTCCAGGAATAACCACATGAACCTTAAATGAGTTCACAGAACAGTTTGATACAATGAAATTTCTACTGGCTGCTGCTGTTTCAAAAGAGATTTGTATTTTGCCAAGTCTGCTCCAGAGATTTTTGTAGGTAAAGAACAGCATTCCTGTTAGTGGTTTAAAGGAACAAGGCTCTGTTTTGGGAATTAAAGGTTATGTGGATACCTCTTACATGAAGGATGGTGGAGGGAAAGCCAGGTTGGCAGAAAAGCAATGTTAGAAATGTCATAATATTAGACATTGGGATTACTTTCAGGTAGTTGTAGCAAAATCCCACATTCCTGCAGAATGATAGGAATTATGATGAACAATTTGGACTTTTCAGGCCTGTGCTGCTTTAACCTAACAAAATCCCAGGAAAGAGCTGGTTAAATGATTCAGTCTGTAATTATTTTATTGTCCATATATCAAGGAACCATCTCCTTTCATATCTTAACAGAGCATTCAGTGAGACAGAAACACACGTTTAGAAGTCTTGTGGACAACCATGAAATAGCAAAAAACTGTGGCAGTGGCAAGTGATTACTTAGAACAGCTCTCGAGATGCTCTCAAGCTGCACCAAAGCACTCTCCAGAAAACCACAGTCAAAGGTTGGAGGGGAAAGCTGAAATTTGGGCCAAGAAAAAGCCTCAATATGAAATGTTGCATCTTGAAAGCTCTCTGGAACTTTCCCCTGCAGCATTATGCAGTGTTAGCAAGAACACTCCTGGTCCCCTAGAGTTAATATGTAAGTTTGGAATACAGGGTCCATGTTTATTTCTAGATATCTTCTGTTGTCTGTCCTGTACTTCATGCCAATGGTTCATATACCTGCTGAGAGGGAGCTGAACTCCAGTGCTCATGTTTGTTTAACGATATTAAATATTCTACTGAGCTTCCTGTTACACAATTCTGTGTGGTGCACACTCCACCAAAGCTGTCCTGTTAGCAGAGAAAGGAATACATCAATGGCATTTTAAGATTAATCCATTTTCACACACATTTGTGTCTAAAGTTACAGGTGGTAACTAGTGTTATTCCAGGTGTGGGGGATCAAAGAACAGGAATTCCAAGAGTAAGTGACCTGAGAAAAAAAGGATGCACAATTTTTAAATATTCCATCATACCAGCCTGTGCTAAGTGAAGGAGTAGATAAGAAGTGGACCAATATGTACTATAATGGCTCGAGTTAACCAATGTGATATATCATCATAAGAACAACTGCCAAAGACCTTTTGGAAAGTAAGTCCTTTTCAAAGTGATGTCTCAAAACCAAAAGAACGTTAAGTAACCCCCTTAATTTTATTTACTGCTGTTTCTGCTTTGTTTTCAAGACCCAAAGTTTTGTTTGTGTGAGTGGACCACGAGACACACACCAAACCCAGAGACACTTTAGGACATACTGTGCCAGTAGCCACAGCTTTGTTTTGGAGGGGGTTTTGTTCCTGGCATATCTCATGATAACAGGAAGGAGGGCAGCCAGCCGGTGATCTTTTTTCTTCCTCAAAATGTAAAACTTTCTTCTGCCAAAGCAGAGGGAACCAGCAAAAAGAATGTTCCTTTTCACCTGTCTGCAGGTGGAGGTGAGGGAATGCTGGAAAAGGTGTTGCCAGCTCACATTTCCAGCCCTGTGCCTACAGACATGAGCCTTGCTTGTTTTCTTTTTTTTCCATTGGACAGTAGCTCATTTTATAATAACTGTAATGATCAGCATTTTCTAAATAAATGTCTGTAGCTCTGGACACAGGGACAGGTATCAGGTATCATGTTTTTTCCCTGCTCTGGTGCATGTTTGCTATTCTTATCACCGATGTTTAGCTCCCACGCAGAATGAGCCAGAGATCTCAGATATATGGCTTTTATTTGAACAGAGATGGACTCATCAATGTAAAACAAGCAACCATGAAGATGGAAAGGGTTTGATCTCTGTGGCAGAACAGGCAGAGCCCTGCTCAGGTGTAGCTAACCACTCGAGGACACATGTATCTCCTGTGTCCTGGAGATCATCATCAGCCTCAGTTCTGATGCTAAACTGTTCATCTTGGGGCATCAGCCACTCATCTGCAGTTTTACCGAGTTCTTGGTCATTAAAATAAGGATTTCTGAATCAACCAGGATGACTGTTCTTGCTAACCCTATACATTTGATCCCTAGGGAATTCTACCGTCCCTACCCGTTTGTCTCAAAAGTCCATAGTGTGGTGCTGTGGCTATTTTCCTTACCGAGTACCAGTTGCCAACATCATCCTTTGGCAGCAGGTACAAGTACAGCTTTGCTTTGCCTATTAAGCATCCAGTTGCTTCAATCTACCCAAATTTAGAGCCTTCGGTGCTTTGGGAGGGTGTCAGCTGGCATGTTCTGGGACTTGTCAGAATCTCTCTCTTCTCTCCATATCCCCATGACTCTTTTTTCTGTCAGCACAAGTAGGTAATCCACAAACTAGGGGAGTAGTGGCTTGATCTTTTTATCCATTTGTAGCTACAAGGTCCCTCAAAACTAGTGTGATGTTTTGGTATGGGCGCATCCAAATATTTCATCTAAACACAAAAGAGGAGAGGCAAAGAAACCCCCCAAGGTGCAGTGTTGCTCAGTTCAGCAGGTCCTTCTCAGGGAGGTCTCCTGCTCCAGTGCTCCTTGTGAAGCCTTTGATCTGCTCTCTGGAACCGCAGTGGCTGTGGTGGTGTGACTGATGTTCGGTTCATGGTACCACTGTCGCTGGGGATCTTTTTTCTTCCTCTTACATAACTGCCCAGAGGCCTTTGGAGTCCAGTGCGTTCACTTGTGCCCTAGAAACTTTTTGGCACTCAGTTTCCAATTTCTTTGCTGCTCTGCTGTGCTGCTTGATGGCCTTTGGCAGGAGAAAAGAGTCACGGGACGTGGTTCAGTCAAGAGCCAAGGCTGAAAGCTTTTGTTTGGCAGGAGATTGTTAATATTTCTTCCCTAGGTCTGCTGCACTTCAGGTTTAACAATAAAAGAGATACTGAAAACTTTTGAGGAACAGCAGGAAATGTTGGGAGGTTTTTTTGTTTTTAATTCCTTTAAGTCATTTATCCAGGATCTCCAATCTATTTAAAAACATGGCTACAAACTTTTCTTGTCAGTGTAAGCAGGTGTGTTTGCTAAAATCAGAAGCAAAGCAGTTTGAAAATGAACCAATGATTTTGGGAGCCCCACTGGGTTTGCTCCCAACTTGAAATACTTCCAGAGCTGAAAACATTGCTGTATGTCTAGAGGGGCTGTAGGACTTGTGGAAAATTTGTGCTACTGTGCAGGTGACCCCCCTGATGTTACTGCATCACTGACAGTGCTGACACTCTTGTTTTGTCCTATGTTCATTTACTTTCATTGTAAACTCTCAGTTTTCCCATTCTGGCCTAAAAACTCCCAAGCTAAATAAATATTTTCTCTTTCATGTCCATCTCCATAGAAACAGAATCTGTGTTGCTGCTATAATTGTTCTCTTGTGCTGGTTTTTTCTGTTATGGCCTTGGATTTTTTAATATTGCTTTCTTTCTTGGGAAGATACCAGCTCATCTACTTAAGACAACTTGTAAATGCTCAAGCATTAAGGAGAAAAGAGAGTAATTCTTTTCTTATTCTTTCCTCTCTTCCTGAGCAAACAATTCCTGAAGATAAAGCCCTGACAACTTTGAAAAATGGAAAGATAGTTATTTTAAATGAAGCCCTGGAGCAAGAATAGCATTTTCTACCTCAAATATTCCCTACTGCCTTCAGTATTTCTTTAGCTGAGAGTCACGGACTCAAGTGGCACCTTAGCAGGAGAACAGAAGTTTGTAAAGCCATTTTAAGTTTTTGTTACTGGAGCAGGCAGATTAAGACATTTTAAAATTGGCACTGTCATTCACTCACTGAGATAGAAAGATAATCCACTTTTATACCGCTATAATGAATTCTGAGACTCCACGAATGAAATGTGGAGCTTCCTGTCTCCCCAGGTGAAATCCAAAAGCCCGGTAAAGTACTTCCACATTTTGTCTCAGCCTCAGAAACAACGGTCAGTTAGTCAAACCTAAGAACATGTACTTTTCTGTTGTAAATATCAATTGTTTTTAACAGCTCAAAGTTTTTCAAGCAGCATTCAACCAGACCACATTTATTAGGTGAGCTCTGGCTTGTAGTTCCAGGTCCAGTACTTCCTTAACTGTGAGTCGGATTCCCAGTGATATCACCAGGATGTAATGATCTCTTAGAAGAGAACTGGATTTGCAGCAGCAGCAAAACGTTGTCTTTCTTCTGGTTGCTGTTTTCCTTCCTATGTTCTCCTTTACCTGGATTTGTTACGCTATGACATGTAACACCGGAAGCCTGGGATTCCCAGAGTTAAGGAAATGACTAAAAATAGCACAAAACAGAGGAAATGTTGCTTGGTTAGTTTGTTTGTTTGTTTTTCTTTAGAGTAGTACTCGCAAACTCTGATTTTCAAAGGAGGCAAGTGATTAGGATTTGAAATTCAGTCTCTCTGAATTTGAAAGCCTCCAGAAAGGCTTTCCAAGGCTGATTTTAAAAGAGAGGTTCCTCAGTATATTCCCAGAATCAGGACTCATCCGAGACCAAAACCTGTGACTGAGGTTAGCAATGATCTGTATGGTCCCTGTGGTTCTCTTAAATAAGCAATAAAAACATGGGCCCACACATCCAGGGAACTATAAAAAGGCAGCAGGCACAGTGGCTCTGCACAGCCTCACCAGCTGTGATGTCTGGTTTTTTAAATTTGAACACTAACCCGGGAACCCTTCTCAAGCCATGCAAAGAAATATTACCAAGCTCTTTGCCCATGAGGCTTTCAGTGTTGTCTCTCGGATCAATCAGGCCGAGGCTACACTCGCCAGGCCGTTCCTCTGTGGTGCCCTCCAGCCCCACCAACAGTCCTTGATATTTGCTCTCTGCCCAAAGGCCTTTCCTGCTCATACCAGCAGCGCTGCAATACTGCCAGTCAGGCATATCTGTAACCTGTCCACAGGCCTCAGAAAGAACTCAGGAAATTCAATTGCAAAAATTAATTTGGGATTGCCCTTATCTGGCACCTTCAATTTTGAGTGAACTCGGGTTTCTGACTTTTCTCTTTGACTTTTGAGTGCTGGAAACACAGAGTGGGGGTCTACAGTACAGGCGCAGGAGCTATTCCTTGCAACCAGGATTGAGACTTCCCTTAAAATCAGTGCAGATCTAGGCAGGTTGCCTAGGACTGCCAGATTCCTGGCTCCCTGGGCATGGAAGTTGGAAGCTGTGTGAATTAGGTGTTGAACCACATTTCTCACTGGCAGAGGGGGGAGCCCAGCACTGAGCCAGGACTCAAGACTCCATTCCGGATAAATCCAGCAAGGCTGAAGATGCTGAGAGCCTGACCTGAACGTGAGTCTCAGTCACCAAGGCCCTGCTGCACAGCTGGGCACTGCAGCCTCATGGCTGTTAGTACTGAAGGAGTTTTGGGATGGATCCTTTGACATTCCAGAACACAAACGTTCTTGGATCATTTGACAGAAATCCCTCAAGCAGAGGGCCTGCTTCCCTGGAGGTTTGTTGGAACCAGTATGGAAATATAACCACGGATTTCATGAAAGTTTATCAGAACTCTGATGTTTCCAGTGCAACATTTTGGATACAGCTAATTGACATGGTTTATTGGTGCAATTGCCCATTGGTTAATGGTTGGACCTGATGATTTTAAAGAGACCAGACTAGTCAGGCATGATTTGCCCTTAGTGAAGCCATACTGGCTGTCCCAGATCACCTCCTTGCCTTGCATATGCCTTACCATTGCTTCCATGAGGATCTGCTCCATGGTCTTCCCTGGCACAGAGGTGAGGCTCACCACTCTGTACTTCCCTGCTCTTCCTTTCTTTCCTTTTTATAACCTGGAGTGACATTTCCCTTTTTCCAGTCACTGGGGCCTTCCCCTGATGGCTGTGACTTTTCCAATATGATGGAGAGTGGCTCAGAGACCACACCAGCCAGTTCCCTCAGAACCTTGGGATGCATGTCATCAGGCCCCACAGACTTGTGGCTATAGAATGTTCCATGCCATTCCCAGTGTCACAAAACAGAACCTCCACTGACATGGGCTTAGGTTATTTTATCTGGCCACCTACCAAATGAAAACTTCATGCTCAAGCTGGTCATAAAATTCAATCCAGAACGATGCAACATCAGAACTAAAAATTACTGTGTGGAGGTGGTGAAATTGAGACTCGGCTTCAGGTCCTCGGTGAAGGATTTTGAAATATATTCAGCATTGGCCTGATTCTGTTCACATCGAAGTCAGTGCCAAAACTCGCCTGACTTCACCGGAAAGCGAGCTCAGTAAAAGGGAGGTTGGACCTTGGATCTTTTCATAAGGATTTTCGACCCTCTCTACAATATTTTAAGAAAGTTATTTCTCACCAAATCACACAAATCTTTTTAGACTGATTAGTGGAAGAGTAGGAAATGTACCTGCTAAAAGCAGGTCTAGCTCAGGTTATACTGAGATGATTCTAAAACTGATGTTCAAGCCTAATCCTTTCCTAAAAGAGAGCTCTGGCAGGGAAAGCTGCGGGGTGTCCTGAGTAAACAGGTACCAGCATTCCATAAGAACCGGCCTGATGAAGCCTTTTCCAAGCTCTCACGTGGGATATGTCTGCCACCTACTGTTGACCAAACTATTTGCACAGAGAGGCCGTGGACCTCGAAATTGAAAAAAATTTAATGTTCCTGTGGGCAAAGAAAGAGCCAGTTTTAGAGAATTTGCAACGGTGATGTGTCTAAAAATGAGACCAGCTCTCTCTGGTGATGGGAGAGAAAACTTGACTTGCTGATTAATAATAATTAATGTGGGATTTATTTGGTGCTCCTATTGCAAAGTATTTGTGTAAGGCTTTTAAAAGTACTCTTGTTGAGAAATATTTTCACTGTCCTTACATGGGTCTCTTTAAACTAAAGAAAGACAGCTGAAATAGAGAAGGTGAGAAGTTCCTTAAGATACCAGGTAATGCTGATAAAGCATTCCAAAAATTCCCAACAGCTTTTCTGGCTAGTGACTGTCACTATTTAACAAAGAGGTCTGCAGGATTTGGAATGAAGGTACCTAAAGGCTACATGTGAAGTGTTTTGCTGAATACAAGGTGGTTTAAAACTCACTGAAGTTAAGTGGCATGTAAGAGCTTTGGGGAACATGGAGAGACTGTAGCGATGTCTGAGGGTAAGCTTGGGAATTTGTGTTCAAACTGAGCTCTGGAACACAATGTTAAGTACTGGAAATTAGTACCTTGTCTATAATTGAAAATGACACACCTGAGAAAACAAATCAGATGTTTCAGGCTGAGTCTGTGTATCAGAATTTATGAATGAGAATAAAAGATCCAGACCTACCTTTCAACACACTCATGGGCTCACTCACCAGACAGCTACAGGGAAATGTCTGGTTGACTTTTGAGGTACTTCCTCTTTCAGAAATATAAATCAATTCATATTCATGAAGGAGAAAATAAGAGAATGACAAGTGACAAAAAGGAAAATTCACCCCGTCAGCATTTTTTCTCCTTGTTGAAATGGTCACTCATTCAGGAATACAAAGCTGTTGAAGGCAGCTCCTAAGGTTGTAATTATCTTGCATTAAAGTCAATGGCATTGTAAATGCCATACAGGAAAAAAAAATCCCTGCATAGCCTGCTGAAATAAATCACACAAAAAGAATCACTTTATTTTTACTGTAGAATGAAAAAATACATATCTGTTTTAGGACAGATACGTCTAAGACTCAAAAGCTTTAGTAAAATTTCTTTTCCATAGTGGTGGGAAGGGAGACCAGTTTTAGCTGTGAGTGGATTGCCGGCTTCTAGCTCCACCTACTGAGTCAAACTGAAATAGCAGAAACATCGAGCTTTCATCTTTTTCTAAAAAAATGTATCCCAACTGCCCCCTAACACAGATCAGGAACCAGCAATAAGGAGCACGAGCCAGTAAGTAGAACAGCACCCAGTAAACAAGGCAGGGCAGGCTCTGTTGGAAAACCGGAGACTCCCTGGGGGTTATGGGATTATAGACCACTAAAAGCTTGTAGACAGTTTTTCTAGTTCTAATTTGAACTCCGCAAAAAAAAAAAATGTTCTTATTCCACTTGACGTGCCGTTTTGAGATATCACGGGCATTTCCTACATTGCTTTCCCTGAATCCAAGGTCTTACCAAGTTTTACACGGAGATTCTCACTCCCTCCCCTGTCCAGAGATAAATTACCCTGGGAGGATAAATATTTTCAAGGCACACTTTATATGAAGATAGAAAAAACCAGCTTGAACCTCGTTGTTCTGCATGTCAGCAGAAGGCTGCTTGCACCGAGATCTCCCAGGCTGCTCTAAGAGAAGCCATTTCAAGGACTAATTTCAGAACTAATCAATTGTTTACTTAAAAAGTGGTTACTATAGAAATTATCATTATGGACTGGTAGAACTCAGGCAAAACACAAAGTGTAAGAAATGTTTAACCTCCTAGCTGACTCCTGGGCAGTCCACAGTTGATGCTGCCTTAAATGCCAGTAACAAAACAAACCTCAAAGAGCAAAATATTAATTTGACACATAAACTTTGATATTCAAACACAGGCGAGGTGGCTTTGGCTTGAGAGGTCTCATTTACACTTTTGGATTACAGATCCATTATGCATAAAATGCATCCAAAAAAAAAAATCACTTTATCTTATGATTTGTCTTGTCTTTACTTTTACCTCTGACAGCATTTGAAGAGAATGAGAAAGAATCCAGAAGCTCACCCAGATGCCCTTTGCCTCAATTGTTTTTATACTCACAAAGGATAAACACTTTGAAAGCCTCCGTAGCAAATTAGGAGCCTGAAGTACACTTTGAAAAATCATTTGTGCATGTTAAAATATAAGTCTCACAGAGTACCAATGCATTTTAGGATTTCGAGTGCTCAAGCCATTTCTTCACTAAGACTCCCAAAGAACTAAATATATTACAGAACAAATGTTTGGGGTTTTTTTATTTGGTTTTGTTTGGTTAATTGGTTTTTGTTTGGTTTTGTTTTGGATTTTGTTGGTTTTGTTTGTTTGTTTGGGTTTTTTGGGGGTTTGTTGTTTTTTTTTTTAATGGAGCACTTGCAGATTTCTTCAGCAGATCAATTGTTAAAAGTGTTGCTTTCTGGACTTGTTTTTCCTTTCCCAGTTCTCCCTGTGAGGAAGCGGTCAAAGCTGGCACGATGTTTTAAGGGCAACTATCAGAACATGTAACACTGGTATTTGAGGTGGAATACAAATGATTCTCAAGACATTGGAGCAGGACATATATGTGCATTTCCAAGTGGAATTTATGATGGATAAGTATACCAAAAGGCAGAATCACCTGGCTTCCCACACCAGACTGCAGGCAGAGTGTTTGTGTGTTAGTTGGAATGTAAATGCAGAGTCTGAGTGGTAACAGTAATGTAAATTTACCTTCTGCTGTAACTCCAGGCACTTCTCCCCAGCCAGCACCACTGTTCTTAAATTCTCAGTCTGCCTGGATTGTCTTCGTTTTCTTTACTCTCAAGGCCACAGCACTTGAGACACTCACAGGAATCTCGCTGTAATGCAGAAATAGAGATGGGAAAAAAATAGAATTCAAAGCAAATGTCATGGCCACATAAAATCAGCTTTTAATCATTCTTTTCCACATGTAATTTAGAGGTACTAGAACAGAGTGTTTTAGACAAATCTTAAATTGTATATCCCAGAAAACAGTACTTTTCTGAAGTGGAGACATTTGTGCTTTATTCCTTCTTTCTCCCTTTGCTTTGGACAGCAGTCCATCATTGCTGAACAACTTTGATTTTATTATTTCCATTAAAAATAATTCACGATGGTCTAACTTTAGTTTATTTTGCCTCCCATTTCAGATGGATCTTCCTTTTTTTTTTTTGGGAGACAATGCTATGCACCAAGGAGGTCCAGTGAGCCAGTCCCTTTGGTATGTGTGTTGAAACAATACAGTCTCGGCTTCAAAATTCCCAGAATGATACGAATAAAAACAACAGCTGCAAAACAGTATGTATCAAAGATAAGCAGTGCATTCACCAGTGAGAATGGCAGGCTTTGGGTCTTGGATTAATTTTACAGTTTATTTGATTAATCATCTTGGTAGCCTCGTGGCAGATGTAGCAGCCATGAGTTTGGGTTAAAAATACAAGAAGTTACAAACTTTTTCCAGTTCCTATATTAATTGCAAACAAATTCACTCCCCCTGCTTCCTGACCTTGACGATGACACTGCTTCCAGCAGCTATATACGAAACTGGAAGCAGATCCCTGTGGATAATTACACCACAGAAGAGGTTTTCAATGTGCTGGCTGTTCCATAGAGCCTCCTGTTCTCCAGGCTGAGCTCCCCCAGCTCCCTCAGCCGCTCCTCATGACTTCACCCTCTAGACCCTTCCTCGGGCCCTTCGCCCTCCTCTGGACACATTCCAGCGCAGGAGGCTCAAAGGAGGGTGGCAAGGACAGCAGGGATAAACTGGATCTTATAAAAATGGAGGAAAAGGCCTTGCTCTGCAGTGCAGGGTGAGGAGGCGCCATTCTTTGAACAGGACAGAGGTCACCCCATAAAAGAAACGGAACAAACGGCCTCTGCCAGGCCACGCTGCCTGTGCCAACACAAGTGCTGCTGGTAACAACTCCTCCATCTCATCCGGGGCTTGGGAATACCAGGCAGAGAGGTAAAACACTACTGGTTGCTTTCCTTAGCAAGAAACTGGACCCTTTCCAAGCCTAACAACCTGAATGGATACCTGGAATTAGGTGCAAATGCCCCCAGTGTTAAAGGCGGATTTGTGTCACAGGGTAAAACCCAGCCCTGCAACTGCCCTTCCCAAATCCAGCTGGGTCAATTCGGTGCCTTTGGACAACCTGTCTGGCTGCTCGTACAGCCGAAGGAATCCAAGGTGTGTTTTGCTCAGAGAGGTCAGTCACCTCTTGGATTAAACGCTGAGGACGAGGTCACTTTTCCACACTTATCCTTGTCACACCACACAGTGAATCTCAGGTGGTAGGGCTGAGGTTACCTATACTCACAGTTCTTTTTTCTGCCTCTTGTGATGACAACAAATAGCAATAATGTACAACATAAATGCTAAATAACACATACAATATCTTATATATTATATATGATAATAGCAAATGCTTAATCTGTGCTTGTACCTCAATAGAAACCAGTAAAAATCAATGCATTTACATTATTTTTAATGAAAAAAAAAAAAAGTGGTGCTCTCCAACACCAGCCAAATAAAAGAGGTAACAAATAATCAAATAACTACAACCTCTTTCCATTTCTGAACTGGAATAGTTCTAACTGGAATTGGCGTTTCTGGCTTGAAACATTGATTCCAAACCATCTGTAGTGTACCAGTGCATTAGAACTATGACTGACCTTTCCAACAAGTTTCTGTGGTTAGAATAATTTTTATTTCCAACAGGTCTTAAAAAAAAAAAAAAATGGAAAAAAGCCCATTTCTCCAATGAGCATGCATTGACTGCCCAAATTTAAATATTTGACATATTTAGCTTAAGTACATATTATATATATAATATATAATACGTAGTTAAGCTACATATAAGTAGTATATATAAGCTACATATAAGCTAAGTATATATATATGTAAATATGTCAAATATGTCAAATATTTAAATATATATTTAAATATATATATATATATTTGACTAACATTTATACTTGACACATTTGACTTCTGTTACTGCAGGACTTGACCTGCCCCAATGGAGGTGATGGTATAAAATATCCCAAGGACATTTTAAGGATGAAAAGTCCAGGCTGGGGGCCTGAGGGAGGAAATGGGGTGTAGTGATACAGTTAACAGGGGTCATTAAAGGAACACGGTTGAACCGACACAGGAATTTTGATGTTTCTGACATTTTCAGCAGTGTTGTTTTAAAACAGGGGTTTGGAAGTTACCTTTGAATGCACAGTGTCCAGTGTGAATGAACTGGATGGAAAAACGCAGAACCTCAGAATTATTTAGGTTGGAAAAGACCTCTGAGACCACCGAATTCAACCTTTGACCGACCACCACCTTGTCTACACCAGGGCACCGAGTGCCACGTCCGGTCATTCCCTGGACACCACCTTTAACTGGAATTCTGCGCGATGCGGTTTCACCACCGCACTTGTACTAATTTATTTTCCGGCATTTTCAGCGACGCCCCGACAGTTTCCTTTTTAAAAGGGGGGTCGGGGGGCTGCCTTTTAAGGCATATTGCACGCGCTCTGTGAGGGAACACCGCTTTTAACCGGAATTGTGCGTGTTGTGGGGTGTCCCTGCCGGCCGCTCCCTCAGGAGGGTTTCCCGCCCATGGGCGCGCGCGCCCTCCCTCACGCCCGGGGGGGGGGCAGCGCTGCCCCCACAGACCCCTCGGACCGGGCAGCTCGACACCGCCGCACCCGCGGGAGGCCGCCGGGGGGCACTCCCGGGAGACGTCCCCAGGGGAGAGGCTTGGCCGGGGGTGCCGTTCCCCTAACCGAGGCGGGTCAGGCTGAAGGCTGAATGCTGAGGGGTGAGGGCTGAGGGTGATGACGCGCGTGGCGGTTCCGGCGCCGGGGCGGTGACCGAGGCGGCGGCGCGGGCGGAAGGAAAGGAAGGAAACGGGGGAGGAGGGGCTTTCGCCGCCGGCGCCGCCGCGCTCTGGTTGCCGGGAACGGGAGAGGGGCATAAGGGGCGTGGGCGCGCGGCCGGGCGGCGCGAGGGGAGAGCGGGAGCGCGCGCGCGGTAGCGGCGCGAGCGGCGGCCGCAGGAAGTATCGCGAGACTTGGCGCGGCGGCGGCGCCGGCGCTAGAGGTGACCGAGGCAGCGGCGGCCGCGGGCGCCTCCTACTCCTTCTTCTCCTCCTCCTCCTCCTCCTTTTGCTTCCTCTCCGGCCATGGAGAAGGCGGTCGGCGCGGCGGTAGCGGCGGCGGTGACGGCGGAGGAGGGAGGCGGTGAGGGCGGCGGCGGCGAGGCCGGCAGCGCCACGGCGGGGCCCGGTCCCCCTGAGGGGCCGAGCGGCCCCGCCGCGCCCCCCTCGCCGTGCGGGCCCGGGGCGGCGGGGCTGGTGCGGGTGTGCGACCTCCTGCTGAAGAAGAAGGCGGCGCCGGGCAAGGCGAAGCGCGGCGGGCGGGCGGCCCGGCCGGCCAGCAGCAGCGAGAGCGGCGGCGGCGGCAGCGAGAGCAGCAACAACGGCAGCGACGACGACGACGAGGAGGAGGAGGAGGAAGACGAGGAGGAGGAGGAGGAGGAGGAAGAGGAGGTCTCCGAGGTACGGCGTGGGGGGAGGCCCCGGGGGTTCCCCCGACGATCCGGTTTCATAATTCCAGCCCGCTGCCGGCTCCTCCCGCCCGCGGCCCTGCGGCACCGCCGGGGAGAAGGGTCAGCACCTCGTGGCGCGGGCACGGCCCGTCCCGCCCCCGGGCACCCCCGCCGCGGGGAGCGGCCCCTGGTGCCCCCCATGGTTTTCCCCGGGGGTCGGAGGCTCCCTGGGAGCGGCAGCCAGAGGCCGCCTTCCAGCCTGGTGTGGCTTAGTGCCGAAGGGAAAGGCCCGGGAGCTGCAGCAGTTGCCCTCTGCCGCCGTGCTGCGTGCCATGTGCCATATCGCGATGGGTACGGGAGCCCGGAGAGCGAGGGCTGGGCGGTGGGAATGCTGCTGGCACGCCCGGGATGGGGCTCCGGGGATAGGCCGGAGCGCTGGGTGAGTGTCTGGGAAGATGTGGGCGCTCCCAGCCGTGGGAATAGGTCGTCTTAGAGAGAGCATGCAGGTAAAGCAGGTGAAGGTGCAACCAAGGCAAAGGCTGTCGGACAGCCCGGGTTGTCCCGCTGTCGTTCAACGCCCCCTCCAAAGCTGCCACCAGCCCTGATTCCATGTAAAGCAGAGCCAAGCCCAGGGAAGCATTAATAACTCGGGTTTGTCTAATGCTCGGTTTCTCAGGTAGGTACCTCCAGGAAGGGCCAGGCGAGGCTGGAAGGCCCTGATTTACATCCGTGCTCACACACAGGTCTTTGCTGGGCGGTTTTAGTTCTGTAACCCCCTCAGCTGGACCTGCACTTCCGCTTTTTTTTTTTTCTTTGAGTAGCGTCCTCAAAAACGTCCACTTGAAGTTTGTTGGCTTCTCTTTGAACTCAGTTTCGCAGAGGTTTGACTTTCAAGTGGTGCATCTGCATTTTGGTTAATTGAGCAGGAAGGAAAAGTCTGATAGGTTTGAGGAAGGGCTGGGCCAAGATGCTGATAGGTTTTCCCCCGGTCAAGCAGCACTCTGCATTTTATCCCTGCTGAGGTTGATACAAGAAGCATTTTATCCATGTGCTCCGAGATAAATTGCACACAACAAGCACGTCACAACAAGTCCTCACACCCGGCATTTTGTTTCTGTAGTGCTGAGTTTCAGGAAAAGTGAACATCATTGCGTTGGTAGAAGTTTTTGAGGTGTAAAACTTGGAGGATTAACTGTGTTGGTGTCGAACTGTGGTGTCCAGCAGTCCTACAGATGCTTGGAGAGCTCTCTCTTGAGCAGAATCCTTTGAGTTTTGCTGTGGTGGTGTCTGGCCCTTGAGTGACTTCGACGTATCCGTTGATAAGCCCTGAGATTAGTTGTGTGTGATGGAAACAGAATTTGTGTCCAGTGAGACTTACTGGCAAAGTCACAGGTTTGTTTAGTGGTCCATGGCCATTCTTCCCACTGGCTCCTTGTCCTGGGAGCTCTCAGGTGGAATCACTTGTGCAGCGTGAGGAGAAGGGCGGAGACAGCCAAGGAGTGTTGGTAGTTGTTGAGGAATTCCCTGCATGAGGTGAGCCTTTGTCTGCGTACTGTGCCTTACAGAGCCTTAGGCACCTACTTCACATGCTTTGAGACCTGCAGAGAGATTGAAAAAAAGCAAATTATTAAATATCATGAGGCAGAATGCTTGGCTCTATTTTTATTTTTTTTTTGACAGTATGACATGTGCTGTAGACACTGATAGCTGGGAAGGCAGTTGGGGCATCTGGAAGCTTCCCTCATGGTTTCATCATACAGTAAGTGGAGGCTCTGCCAGACTGGGTGGTCTGGGATAAAATATTAAGCAGTGCTAAGCAAGCAAGTGGATAATAGTGGGTTTATGAAGTTCAGGATTTGTGGCAAAATACACTCCATGGGCGTCATTTGTAATCGTTCTTTTTCTTGATCATGCAGGTTGCTTGCAAAAATCTGTTCTGGTCTTTCTCCCACTGACTTCAGGATAAAATGATGCAGCTTGTAGAACATGCACAGCTGAAGCCACTATTTTTGGGAATGTGGACGTGGGGATGGCCTGATTAATGGAGCAGAGCATCCAGCTTCAAAGTCGTTCCCAGCAGCTCCTGGGGAGGAAATGTGTTCTGAGTGTTCTAAGCAAAAGGGAGGTTTCCTTGTTTGAAAGCAACCTCGTGGTTAGTTTTAGCTTTTAGAAACCTAAAAAAAAAAAATCCCACAGTAGAAGCAAAGGGGTTTTTAGTTGTTTGGGGCTTAAATTTTTTTTTTTTTAATTTCAGATTTACTTGAGTTGTGCCCAGCTCTGCAGTTGGATTGTGGTCTTCTGACCACTGTCAGTCTGGAAGGCACATAGAATGAAAAACACGAAAGAAATATAAGTTTCTGGTTTTGCTGTAAGTGGAAACTACTGTGGGAACACTGCAGACACTGGTGTTCCCTCCCAGCCATTCCCTTCATTATCTCTGTAAACTTAAGACAGTTTGTCTTAGGCTATTTTTTGCCCTTCCCATGCCTAATACATTAAGACTTCTCTAATCTCTGAGGCAAAGTGCTTCTAGATTTGACTGCTAGCGAGACAGCTTCTAAAAATCAGGAGCACAGTAGCAACAAGTCCCAAGGTTTTCTGAGGGGAAACCTGGCAGATCTGAAGTCGCAGAAACCCCAGGAGTGGGAAGACACTGTTTGGCTCCCGTGTTGCTGAGCTGATGGAACGGAATAAAGAGTTGTAATCGGATGTTTTCATCTCTGTGCCTAAACTCCGTCAGGTGTCCGTGTGGAAGCACAGGCACTGGAGAGAGCTTTGGCAGAAGTTAAATGGAAATTTCAAACCAGCAACTTAATGAGCTCCTACGACGCCGTTCATGGCAACCTTCAAGGTGGATTTTTTATTTTTTTTTTTAAAAACTGCAGCAAATTACTGCAAAAAGCCAAGATCTTAGGTAGTGTGGTCTGGTGCTGTCTGCAACTGGCAAGTTGCCTTTTCCCTAAAAACGAGTTAGTGAAAAATGGCAGCTTTTCTCAGTACACAGGAAAAGGAATCTTAAAGTATGAGAACAATGACAGCAGGAGTTACATAGCAGGGGAGGTCAGCTCGCAGGTTCCTTGCAGGTGTTATTATACATACCGATTTTGTTCTGTGTTTGTCTTCAACAAAGAGTAAAAAATATTAATAATTTCTGGTAGCAAGTTGCTACTTGAAAATCTGATGTCCAGAGTGCATTAGGGCTTCTCTTGAAGCCCTGATGTTCTTTCTGAACACAGAAAGGTCGGGTTGTATAATAAAAACAGTTCCCAAGCTGATTTCTAGTGTTTGAACTTAGGGGAGGTTTCCTGCTGGCAGTCAGGTTTATAATTGCTCTTTCCAATGTTTTATCCATCTCGAGGGTTTGTAAGTTCAGTTTTCTCCCTGAGTTTCATGATGATCCAAGGTGCGGGATCACAAATCTTGGATTTGTGTTTATTTCTGTACTCTCTAGTATTTTATTCTGTCACTGGATTCTTACATGACGTGCAAATTAGTTTCCCAGGACACAATCCTCCATTAACTACCTGAAAGTGCTGTCCTAGGCAAAGGGAACTTTTTGAGATGCTTTGGCTGTTTTTTAAGCCTTCTTGGTTTCACTTGAGCCTGCTGTAAATACAAGGTTAATTTTTGTTTTTTCAGCTGCAATTGAATTAATAATTGAACTGAGGTAGTAAGATGAAGGAAGTAGAACAGCAAAACACCACAGGTCCTTCATACAGAAGAAACTACTCTTAATTCTTTAGGTTCAGATTTAAGGTGTTAATCTGAGAACTGGGGCTTCCAGGTGTGGTTTCAGGAGCGTTGCTGGCACAGGGGTGTAGCACTTACACTGGAAGAGGCTTGCAGAGAGCTTAAGTGTTCGAGTGAGCTCATTGGAAACACAGAATTTATGTTACAAATCTGTGGGTTTTTTTAGCCCCAACTGTCTTAATTAGAGTCCTGGAATAAATTTAGCCTTTGGATTCTGCAGGGCCAGTAAGTCTGGCTCGACGGCTGTGTTCACTCTGCTGCCATTGCTTTGGTGTCCTTGGCTCTCAGGGAGGTGACTGAGCGTGCAGCTCCTTGGGCCCTGTCCTTGGGAGTGGGTGGCATCCCGAAGTGCACTTCAGTCTCGGGCTCTGCCACCTTGTTTATGCTGGAATTCTCTTTTTTTCTGTCTGTTTTGGCTGGGTTTTTTGCCGGTACCGTG